CAAAGGAAGCAGTCCATAACCAGCTTCAACTGTCTTCATTGGCTGAAGTCCAACTTATAGTTCATTCTAAATTCAAGATCTTGGGAACTGAAGTGGGACCTAAGGGACCCACCGAACCTACCTTGCTTGATCTTAACATACAGGAAGATCTCATTACACTTGGGCCAGGTGAGGACTTTCCCTTATAGAAGCCAGGAAGTGCCCCAGGTCCCCAGGAGAGTTCAGGTCACTGTGCTCCCAGGACTAGGACCTGTTCCAGGCCCTTCTATGGCTCCACGCCCATTGGTGTAAAGGCTGGCCAGCATGAGCGATCAGCATAACATAGCAAGCAAGGGACACAGGCTGTCGGCCCAGGTGACTCCAGAACGCAACAACCTCACATGGGGTGATGCCACCCCGAAAGTCAACACACTCCAGATAGACATGGGGCACCGTCACCAACACACAGATGGGGACGGTGAACAGAAAACTCTCGAGTTTCCTGGGGGCAGAGTCATGGCTCACAAAGCCCTTAAAAAGTGATGGTGCATGCCTGTAATCCCTATAATCCCATCCCCCCCCCACCCCCGGAGGCAGGGACAGAAGGAGCTCAAGCCCAAAGCAAGCCTGTATTATCACACAGTCAGACCCTATTTCTAAAAACTAGTATATAGGGCTGGAGGGATGGCTCAGTGGTTAACAACACTTGCAGAGGACCTGGGGTTCGATTCCCAGCACCCACATGGCAGTTAACAACCGTCAAAGTAACTCCAGTTCCAGGGGGACAGGGGAGGAGAGGAAGGGGGGAAAAGGATATTAATCCATTGAATGGCGGGGCCTTATCTGGATATACAACAAGACCAAACACATAAACAAGACCCAAGTAGCACAGCTGCAGGGACCTCAGGGAGACCAAGAAGCCAACTAGGAGCCTGCCCTGGGACTCCAACCTGCCCCACATCCCACACCCAGCAAACCCAGCCCAGGTACCCCAGTCCCATCAGCATTTGCTCTGCAGAGTTTTAATTTTGTGGCCAAGTGGAAGAGGGCAGGGGTGGCTTCCAAGACGCTCCAGAATCCTGACCCACCTAAGCAGCCTGCGGAGAGTCCGGGGTGCCAGCCCCTTCCAACTGAAAAAATCACTTCCAGCTCCCAAGTCAGAACTGGCTGGCCTCACTCAGCCTCCTAGGCCTTGTTCCTGAAGTCAGCAGATAGAATGAAAGCCAATAAATGTGGCTTCTCAAAAAACTGTGTGACCTGTTTGAGGCACTTTGCATAAATCAACTCCATAACCCCGGGGTAGGTGATGACACTGTCTCCACTTGACAGGTGAGGAAACCAAACCACAGAGTGGTTAATGACTGACTCAAGGTCACTCAGCCAGCAACCAGGGTAGGGGCTCCATTCCCAGCTGTGAACCACAGCACAGCCTCAGATAAGCATAGACCTGACTTTCCAGGGCCTCATGACTAAGACAGATGAGAGGATGGGGATCCAGAAACGGCTTAGGGAGAGTCACTCGCCTTGGGCCCCTTCCCGACCTAGAAACCTGGGCAGAATGGGCCACCAGAAGCTCCACATGGTGCTCAGCTAGTGCCCAAGCCTAAGAAAGCGTCAAGACTGTCCCCACCCATAGTGGTCACCCAGGAAGCTCTGGATGCCTGTGGGACCCTTCCATCAAGTTCAATCAAGGGACTGTGGGGAAGTTAAAGAATTTATTTATAAAGAAACAGAAAGCATCATTTTTCTACCACTGTGCTAACAGCTTGTGAAACAGGACAGAAAGAGGGAGAAACATGGACCCACAGGAAGGCAGAGTCCCTCGCCCTGAAGCCTCTCCCCTACGGAAAAGCAAGAGTTCTAGCACAATTCACAGCGCTTAAGATATTTCTCCAGTTCCAGCCATAAACCTGAAAAATATGCTAGGGATCTCTCACCAGAAACCCCATTTACAATAAAAGATGCATCCTAGTCCCTTGTGTAACTCTGGTGGCATTTGGTTTTAATGTATCCAAAATACCTCCTGAGTGTCTCTATAATCTTACCTGTCAGAGAGAGAGAGAGAGAGAGAGAGAGAGAGAGAGAGAGAGAGAGAGAGATCTAAGCCAATATCCTGATATGTAACTTTACAGCTACCCAAGTGGTACATATAGTGAACGCTAAGACACTTAATCGCAACTCTCCCCTGAGAAGCTCACACGCACACTTGGGTATATCTTAATTCTTTGCTTATGTGACTGTCTTAAGCCCCATGTTCAAAATTTGTTAAAAATGGATTTGTTGGTGCTGGAGAGATGGCTCAACGGTTAAGAGCACTGACTCTTCTTGTAGAGGACCAGGGTCTGATTCCCAGCACCCACATGGTGGCTATGAACCGTCCTTAACTCCAGTTCCAGGGGAATCAGACATCCTCTTCTAACCTCTGCGGCATTGCAAAACACGGGTGCACTCACATACATGCAGGCAATACGCTCATATACATAAAATAAAAATAATATTTTTAAAAAATTAATAAAAAAAAGGATTTGTCTACAGAATCCCTTACTGCCCACTGACCACGCTGCCCACTGACCACACTGCCCACTGATGGCACTGCCCACTGATGGCACTGCCCACTGACCACGCTGCCCACTGACCGCACTGCCCACTGACCGCACTGCCCACTGACCGTGCTGCCCACTGACCATGCTGCCCACTGACCGCAGGCTCCCTCTTCCTTTCCAGGTGTTGTTTCCGCTTTTTTTCTGGGTTAATCCTCACCGGGTTTTAGCTACTTTCTGAATCTTTAGCCCTCACATCTCATCCATCTTCTTTTTTCTCCACTTCCATTTTAAAGACTCTTGTCTAAATAATTCAGAATACTTGTTCTCTTTTAGTAATTTTTTTGATTAAATTTTTTTTATTTTATTATTTTTATTTTATGTGTATGCATGTATGGCCTGCACGTAGGTAAGTGCACCCGTGTCATGCAATGCCCACGGAGGTCAGAAGAGTCTGTCGGATCGCCTGGAACTGGAGTTACGGACAGTTGTTAGCTGCCATGTGGGTGCTGGGATTTGAACCCGGGTCTTCTGCAAGAACAGTCAGTGTTCTTAACCACTGAGCCATCTCTCCAGCCCGTGGCAAGGGATATTAAGGGGAAGTTTAAATTAAAATGACTAAAAGAGGGCTGGAGAGGTTCAGAGTGTACTGGGTCTTGCAGAGGACTCAAGTTCAGTTCCCAGCACTCACCTCAAGCACCTCACAACCACCTGTAACTCTAGCTCCAGGAGATTGGTGCCTTCTTCTGGCCTCCATGTGCACCTGCACGCATATGCACACAACCTTTAAAAAGATCTCTTGATGACTGAGTCTTCTTTGAGAAGCTCCCACTCAAGTTCTTGGATGTCTTGTTTTTTTCTTGAGCACTTCTCTTTCTACTTTTAATAAAAACCCAACTCTGCTTTATAATGTCTAGTCCAGAAATTCTGTGGGTTGAAGCCATGAAGCCCAGGTCTGTTTGAGTCAAGGTCCCTGAAAGACTAAGGTAACTCGGGCTGCTGAGGATGACCATGGTGGTGAAGTCTCTCTACTCTTCGACATCTGGAAAGGCAGTCGCTGGGGGACTTCCAACCCCTCCAGCTCACACCATCCAGCTCCCACCAGGGCAGCTTCAAAGCCTGGCTCTCCATTGACTGGCCCTCGACCTCCAGGCTGGTTGTAGTGGTCCATGTCTGTAATAGCAGCACTCAGGAAGCTGAGGCAGGAGGATTGCCTCAAGTTTAAAGCAAGCCTGAGCTAAACAACGAGACCTGTCTCCAAGCAAAACAAAACAGTATAACAGAGCACAGACACACATACACATACATACACACACACACCCCTTCCAGAGCTTTCTCATTGTGAAGTAGCCCATCCCTCTGTCCCCCATCAGGGAGATATGGGTAATTCAGGAAGCCAGATGGGCTTCTAGTGTGGTCAAACCATCTAAGGCCAGGTACCTCCAGGTCTATTGCAGTCCTGGTCTATTTTAGTTTATTATTAGATAGGGTCTCAGGTATCCCAGTCTGGCCTCAAACTCTATGTAGCCCAGGATGATCTTCTACCTCCACTGGGATGAGTGCTGGGATTATAGCCTTGGGCCACAGCATCCTGTTTACATAGTATGGGGAGACAAACCCAAGGCTTTGTACATGCTGAACAAACACGTAATATCTATATCCCCAGCCCTGCTGTCCTCTTTAACTGAAGCCATCTCCATGCCCGTCATCAACAGGGTAAGCCACAACCTGCACTCAGACACCAGGGCATCCCGGGCAGTTAGTCTAATGAATCCTAGACTTTTAAATTTTTGTTTATTTATTTTTTATGTATGAGTGTTTTGTCTGCATTTATGTAAATGCATCCATGAGTGCAATGCCCATAGAGGAAAGAGGAGGGTGATGAATGCCCTGGAACTGGAGTTATGGATGGCTCTAAGCCCCCATGTGGGTGCTGGGAACCAAACCCAGGTCCTCTGCAAGAGCAGCCAGAGCTCTATGCCTCAGAGCCATCTCTCCAGCCCCAGAATCCCAGACTTTGAACAGCTCAATGAAGCTGTTCGGTGACCTTACAAAAGCACAAGGCAGGACACTTCCATTCCCACCACCCCATGAGCCACATAGCCACCAAAGGACTGGGCCTCCCTAGCGTCCCTCCCACCATCTTCCAGCTCAAAGCCCACCTCCTTGTCTAAGAAAGCCCCTTCTGGTGTCCCACAGGCTGCTGGCTTTTATCAGAGAGCCAACTCTGGGCTCCTGAGAACAGGGAACAGGTGGGCAGCCAACTGACTTCTGGGAGCAGACTCAGACTTCCATCCCTGCCCCCTTTCCCTTCCCCCAACCCTGGCGGTGACCGGGAAGGGTTTGGAGGTCATTCAACAAGCAATTCACCAACAGATCCTGAAACAACTGAGGCCAACCGAAGGGTGTCTGCTTCCAAAACTGTTGAGTCCAACTGAGCCCTGAGTTCTCTCCTGGACCCATGTCCGCACTGCAACTCACCGACGGCACGGGCTGTAGAATCTGCACACGCCTGGCAGAACCTGCCCGCAGCGTCCACCGCGGGGCCCTGTCCCCACCCCGGCCACACTGGACGCTGGAATGCCACCCCTCCCCCCGTGGCCTCTGCAAGTTTCTCCTCCTGAGCTGCAAAGCCCGGCGGCCAGCGGCGGCGCTGACTGCACCTCCGAGGAATTCTCGAATTCTCCAGGGGCCCTGGCCAAGTTTGGGAAAGTGAAACCAGGTGCAGCCCGCCCCGCCTAAGTGGGAACTTCCCAGGCCGGCTGATTGGGCTCCAGCCTGAAGTACTGGGAGGTCCATGTGGGCTGGCGAGGGGACCAGACCCCGGACCCCCACGGTCCTCGCAGCACCCGCTCAGGCCTCAGTGTTCCCATCGGGGAGGCGGGAACGATGCCACCCGCCTCTCAGGTTAGGTGCCCCGGGGGCCGGTGCCAGGTGCTGACCCGAGCGCCCCGAAAGGGAAAAGTGGACGGCGAGGCTGAGCTGAACCCCAACCCGGGGAAAGCGAGGGTGACACGGGACACGGGGACAAGGTGGGGAGGAGAGGAGGGGCACCGGGGCAGGTGGGGTGCGCCAGGAGCCGCGCCCCCCGGGGTCTCCCCACCCGAGCCAGGCCCCCGGTGGGACTCACCGGGTCACCGCGCTCTCACCTGGCCTGGGTCGCCCGCCGCTCACCTGGCTCCGCCCCTCGAGGCCCCGCCCACCCCGCGCCCCGCCTGCCTCCGGGCGGCTCCAGGGATGGGCGGTACCGGGACAGGTGGCTCTGCCCCGGGGCGGGAGGCAGGTGGCGGGACTTCCGGGCCTCTGCCGCGTCCGTCGGCATCCGCAGAGCTCGGAGTGAGGCGGGAAGCCAGACGTTTGCGGGGAGCTAAAAGGAAGCTTGATCCGCGACCCCAGGCACCTTCCGGGCCAGGTGCTGACGTCCCGGGCTGGGCGGCACCTTGCAGCAGCTGGTCGTCCCAGAAGAGGCCTTGACCCGGGCTGCGGGTACGGGGGTGAGGGGAGGAGACTTCCAGAAGCCTGGGATGGGGACTCTGGGGACTCAGGACCCCATCCCCAGTCCCCCACACATACCCCGCCGGGTGACTTGTTTCCAGGCAAGAGGAGACCTTGTCATCCTACCGGAAAGCGCCTGGGAGGCGAAGGTGGACTTCGGAGAAGGTGGCTTTATGGCTCCAGTTCCTGCCTCCGGGCTGCCCTCTCTGCTCCCTGTCCCCAGGCTGCCTTCCATAGAAACTACATTTCATCCATCCACCTGCTGTCCACAAACCCGTGAGATGACCCGCCAGTTGACACCCCAACCTCAGCTGACATCCCAACCTCAAGCTCAGGCCCCTACCTGTCCACTGGACACCTGACCTCTGGAGGGACATTGCACAGGCTCCCCTCCCATCTCACTCCTCCAAAGGCTCATGACAGACCTTTGGAGTCTCCTTGACTCCTCACTCCCTCAAGCCCTGTTGGCTCCTTCAAAATGTGTCACAGGCCGGGCATGGTGGCTCACACATTTAATCCCACCCTGGAGACAGGAAGGTGGATCTCTGTGAGTTCTGTTCCCACACCAGGCCAGGCATCCATGCTCACAGCATCAAGCTGTTTGCCATTTTCTCCATCCGGTAGGTGGGCAGCTGCCCTGTGTGGAGAGCACATGGTCCCTGGTGGCCTTTACACAACAGCTAAGGGTGCACTATCGACAACATCCCACTGGTGATGTGATTTCAAGGACAACCCACGCAAGCCACCACCTCCAGCTTCCAGAAATAACTGGGTCTCAGCCAAGCAGCACAAATCTTCCCAAAACTCTGCCCAGTGCAGGCTCTTCCAGTGGATCTTGTTAGGCTTTGCTGGATGGTGGGGAAGAGAAAATCTGGATTTCTGCCTCTCCCACACCACCCTAGAGGAGGAAGCTTGGGCCATTGAAGACCCTAGTGTGAGAGGTAAACATGTCTCTACCTGGGGCTGGAGAGATGCTCAGTGCTTAAGAGCACTGACTGATCTTGCAGAGGACCAGGCAACCATCTGTAACTCCAGTTCCAAGGGATTTGACACCCTCTTCTGGCCTCCCCAGGTGCTGTGTGCATGTGGTACACTTACACACATACAGGAAAAACACTCATACATAAACTAAAAGTAGATCAATAAAAACATATCTCCACTGTCTTTTGCTCATGGTTGAGGCTTTCGTAACAGGAGACAGATTGACAAGAGACTTCAGACAAAAATAAGGGAAAACTCCCAGTCAATATATATTAAGAGATGGGCCAGGCTTGGTGACACACACCTGTTTTCCCAGCACATAGGAGATAGAAGGATGAGGATCAAAAGTTCAAGTTTATCTTTGGCCACATTGAAAGTTCAAGGCCAGCCTGGGACACAAAAGATCTGATCAAAACAAAAAACAGACAAAAATGAGCGGGGAGAAAGGGCCGGTGAGAGGGTTCAACAAATAAAGTGTGGCAACCTGAGTTTGATCCCTCAGATCCACATGGTCGAAGGACAGAACGGACTCCCAGAAGTTATCCTCTGACATCCACAGGTGTACCGTCACCTGTGGGACAAGGTGATAGAATCTGTGAAGAGCCATGAGCCTAATTAGGAAAGCAATATAACCAGAGATTCCTTAATGTGGCTAACTGGCCCTAAATTGGCAGCCTGGCCTTGCTCAAACCTTATCAACTGGCCACTCTCTGGACTGAGGGAGACTGTTCATGGTGCCCACCTGTCTCCTTTAGTGCTACAGATGGCTCGCCTGCTTGAGAAAATAATCTTGGGAGAGAGACCCCCAAGGACACTAGACCCCGACACTGAGCAAATTCCCGCAACTGCGTTCTACAGAGTTCCTGTATAAATCCAAACTACTCTGGCCTTTGATGCAGACACCCTCATTCCTTGGAAAAGTTTTTTGGCCCCCTGCTGTGTTCTTTGAATAAAGGAACACATTCCTTACCTGTGGCAGGTCTGGCTCTGATTCTCATGTCTAAATTTTCCTAAATCCAACACAAGGCTGCTGGTGATGTAGCTCAGCAGAATGTACCAGGCCCATGGTTTGATGCCTAGTACACGGGGGTGGGGACATCTCCCTTCTTGAATTTGCTTTATGAGCGTCTCAAACAAATTCCACAATCATAGCTTCACGGGATTAAAATTCACACAATAAAGCAACAATCTAGAGCGACTGTGCAGCCAGGAGCACAGGTGTGTGCTGTCACTCAAACAAGGGAAAGGCTGAAGGGAACTCAAAGGACTGCACAGCCGCGGCGGCCGGCTCCCTTCCTTTTTTCTGTTCTCCCCCAGCGTGGTGCCATCAGTAATCAATCTTTCTCTTTTGTTGCTTTAACAATAACTTTGCATTTCAAACACTTTGCTATAGAAAAGAAAAAATAATAATGAGAAATGGAGTTGCAGCTGAATGGTATTACTACCAGCTTTATTAAATTTGCTCTTACAAATATTTATGAAGTCGGAGGACGGTTCTCTCCCAAGCAGCAAATTCTACATTAATGAGCATGCTGGGGGTGCTCAGGAGACTGAAGGAAAGAAAAATGGACCACCTGCTGCGTCTTGGGCTTCCTGTTTGCTTTTTCCCTAATGGCTCACTCAGTCCAATGAGGAGCTCCCTCTTGGCGGGCCTTGAAACCTTCTTACAACCAGAAAACCCGCATTTCCGAGCCCATGACACATGGTGATGCCAGCAGAAAGATTATCTGGACCATCTTCCAGTCACTCCCTCTACTGGGAGGACGCTGGACTCTGCAGGCTAAGGGTCTGCTTTCCTCTGGTAGCCAAGGTCAGAGGCAGTGCCCTGCCCCGTTTCAGAGCAGAGGCAGCACTGACTGTGTGTGGATGAACTCCCGGGCCTTCTCCACAGTGTGCTGTGACATCCTGGGGGCCCAGTGTGCAAACCCTTTCAATGTGCCCCCTACTCTGGATGCCCCACTGACTACAAACTACGGCTCTCATCTCAAAGGAAATGAGAGTTTATGCCGGAGCCAAAGATGAGTGACCATGGCCCGGATTACCCCAAATTCCATGTTCCAGTATGTTCAAATATGTTGGTGGAAGCATCAGGTAGGTGGATTAAACATTCTTAGTTTTTGGGTTGGGGGCGCCTAGGGGGGTCTGTTAATATGCCCCAAAAGGTTTCACATGATAGTCATAGGACATTAGGTCAGACAGAGGGTAACAAATGGCCGTGAAGGGGCCAATGATAGCCCAAGATAATTCCACTCCGGACCTGCAGCATTCCAACCTCTCCACAGTCACCTAAGTTCTAATCTTTCCATCAGCCTTGTGGGTGCATCTTCTTTCCAGAAACTTAAGTTCACACCTATTGACATCAGGGATGGCCACTGGTGTCCTAGGCTGACAGTGGTATTCACCCTTCAAATGCCCTTGCTGTATGGAATTCCCACCTTATAGGTCTCACTGCCTCAAAGTGACCCACAGTTAGGTAACCCAGGCCCCTCTGCCACCAGGGAATGAACAGTGATGGACCCCACCATGAGGTGCCGTCTGAGAGGGGGGCTGACTGGCACAGCACTGTGCTGCAAAGACCACCCTGTTCAGGATGGGGCGGGGCAGGCACGGGGGCTACAAGGCCACGGACCTGCAACCCTAGGTATGGGCTGTGGCTGTTATGAGTTTGGTTTGGTGCAACTGGAGCTTCATGTGGGGTTGAAGTCTCTTGTGGGGAGGGAGCTGCCTGTGTGGTGGAAGTCTCCTGTGCAGTGGGAGTCTCCTGTGCAGTGGGAGTCTCCTGTGCAGTGGGAGTCTCCTGTGTGGTGGAAGTCTCCTGTGCAGTGGGAGTCTCCTGTGTGGTGGAAGTCTCCTGTGCAGTGGGAGTCTCCGGTGGGGCAGTCATTGTTCTACTCTCACCCAGCTGTGTGTGGTTGTTCAGGGCACTCTTCCTGGAAGCTAAGCCTGAGCATAGCTCCCCACCCCTGGCAACTTGGGGAGCCCCCACCATCCTGTAACCAGCCACGTCTGCTTTCATGGTGCACATGTAAGAGTCTTCCCTAGCCTTCGGTTTTATATCATATACCAGGTTGCCCTCCTTGCTGCGGAATGAAGGATGGCGGGCGTCCCATAGTGAAAACCCAAATGTCAGCATCGGAGATTCCTGCAGATGATGTGGGTGGTGCTTTACGTTTTTATAGCTTCTTACAGCTAGTTAAGAGCTGGTCTGTGCTCTCTGCAAATACATCTGTCAGTGAAGGGAAGGGTTCTGGGGACAAAGCCAGCGCTTAGTACTAAGCCCTATTACCCCACTAAGTACCCATCTACCTATATACAAGGTCTTCTGTGCAGAGCTAATTCATGTGGCTTTGTAGCCCAACAACCCCTGCTGTGTGAGCCACAGGTCCAGATAAGCAGAGAAAAGCCACCAGAACAGAAAGTCCTATCTGGAAAGGCCCTTGCAACAAATGGAGAAACTGAGGCTGGTGGCCTGTCAGATATCAGGGCAGCTAGCTCAGTCATGCTGCTGGTCCTGACTGTCCCCAAGTTTCAGGGGGTTAGACAGGCACAGCTCAGCAGTCCCATTAGCTTTTACCCTAATTGGGGACCCCACCAATCTCCGGAGTCCCGGGGAGAGGTGTATGTCGGGTCAGACTGAGTGCTGCTGCCCTCGTCAGCCATTTTCGGGCTTAATGCCCTCCCCCAGCTCTGTGCACACCTCAATGGTCCTGCACACCAGCAGCCCACCAGTCCCCATGCCCAGAGAGACACAGCCTAGGTGGACTCCAGAAGGCTCCCCCATCCATGCTCCTCAGAGCTCGCTGGTCAGAGGTGGTCCCATCACCTCTCTTCTTAGTCTTGAGTATAGGGTTCCCACGGGGTGGGGGATGGTCCATTCCATAAGGAATGCAGCTGAACAGAACTGCTGAGAGAGTCTCCCTCTCAGTCACACGTCTTGAAGCTCAATCCAAGTTTTGTCTTAAAGATCAATCCAAATTTTAACATGGTCTGAGTTCCTATTTTTGTTTGACAGTCTCGCTATGTGGCCCTGGCTGGTCAGGTACTCCCTATGTAGACTAGGTTGGCCTCAATCTCACAAAGATCTGCCTGCTTCTGCTGCCTGAGTGCCATCATGCCCAACTCTGCGTTTTGTTGTTTTTCTGGTCTTTTTTTGAGACAGGGTCTCCCTGTAGCCCCAGCTGGCCTGGAACTTGCTGTGTAGACCAGGCTGGCCTTGAACTCACAGAGATTCACTTGCCTCTGCCTCCCGAGTGCTGGGACTACAGATAGGCACCACCACGCCTGGCTGTGTTCCTTTAATATATATATTTTTTTGGTGTGCTTTAATTATATGTATTTTTTTTTAAGTTTTTTTGTGTGTATGCTTTAATTATGTGTATTTGTGTCTGTATGTGGGAATGTGCACAAGTGAGGGTGCTCTCAGAGGCCAGGGATGTCGCCCTGGAGATACTTACAGATAGTTGTGAGCCACCTGATGTAGGTGCTGGGAGTTCAACTTGGGCTTTCTAAAAAAGCAATACATACTCTGTGGGAGTTTATGGCACAGAGCAAGTTTCCGAGAGAGCAGAGGGTGGTACTCGCTCGTGTCTGTTACCCACACCTCCCTGCGGAGTATTTTCAATGACTGCTTCAATCTTATCAGTTCTTTCCAGTCTGCTCCCCCCCACACACCCCAACACACACATAGGAAAACTTGGCTGGGCACAGAGCATCCTGGCCACATGGCTGAGCCAGATGATGTCCCACCCTATGACGGACAGTCCATGCCCTCCTGGCAGCTCTCCTGTGTGTTGGAGCCTCACAATGTGTAAGCAGGGATTGTCATTCCTGATACCTTTTTGAGCATCTTTCTCCAAACTAATTTGGTGGGTGGCAGCCTCCTGTTGCTCCCAGATGTGTCTGAAAAACACATGAAGGTCTGGAGATGTGGGTAGGTCTCAGACAGGCTGGGATTCCAGAAAACCCATGGAACCAGCAGCAGAGGAAGCCAACCACTGGACCTATCATTAGCTTCTTAGAAAAGCAGGTCTAGGGGCTCAGTAGAAGAGAGATGGACCTGCTTGGGGTACAGGGTTGCAAACTACAAAATAACTTATTTCTGCCAGTGTGGGTCCCCCAAGGGCTGATGCGGCAGAAACCCCAGGCCACTTGGCTCAGGTCCCTTCCAAGGAGGCAGTAAGGACTCTAGCAACGGTGAGTCCCACATCCTAGCAGTGTGTATATGAATGCCACCATCTGATGTGAGTTTCTGCACACCTGGTCAACACCTCTCCTTGCACTGGAACCTCATGTGGTGGATCTTTACCTTTCCAAGGGGTCCCAGGCCCATCCTGCTTCCACGAGAGCCTGCAGCAACCTGCCAGCTGAACAGGGAGCCAAGGGTGGTGGTTCAGGGATCTCGGCATCATCAGCTGAGCTGAGCTGAGCATTCTCCCACCTGATTCAGGCCCCTGCGGACATCCTGCCTGCGGCTGGTTCTTGCTCCCCCAGGTGCCTATGGAACATCTCCCCAGAGCCCTGTGAGGTCAGCCTGTGCCCCTATGGCAGACAACAGAGACTGAAGCAGGACCCACTGGAAGGAGCAGGGACTCCAGGTCTGCCTCTCCTACTTGGCAGAGAGGGGTTCCTCCAGCTAAACAGCTCTCCAGCAGACCCTAAGGACTAACACGGCCCCTTGGCCTAAGCACCAGGTGAAGGGTTTGCTTCCTACCCTGGCTCTGTTTGCTCAGAGATGGTGTCTTCTCCACCTCCAGCAGACATTACTCAGGTGCGTGTGCTTTGAAGGGTGCTGGGGTGGGGGTGAGCAGGTGCACCAGGAAGACCCCCCCAGCCCCTGGCTCTTTAAGAGGAGCACCTAAAGGGGCTGAGGCCCACCCTAAGCATAACTCCTGTTAGGCTGGGCAGGTCTCAGAACACTCCAAGGGCCACTAACCTGGGGCAGGAAATGGCACCAACCTAGTTGCTGACAGGGAAGGTTTAGGTCTTAGCTGGCAACAAGGTCTGGAGGTGGAGCTGGAAACGCTAGCCTGTCCCTTCCAAGCCAGGGTCTTTAGCAACTCTTCCGACACCCTAACAAAGGACCAGGTCCTCTGTGACCCCCCCATCCTGGGCTGTAGTGGGTCACACCCAGCCAATGCTGGAGGCTGGGGCAGGAGCCAGGACCCTTACAGTAGGGCCTGTCTTGCACCAAAGCACCACCTATTAAGATTTCAAGTCTTATGTGCTTTCTGGGCCCTTCCACCGTCTGAAGACTGGGATTTCAGATGGACACCAGGGGCCAGACAAGAGACAGGAGCTGTAGTTTTATTCCATGCTTTCCTGTCCCCTGGACACCCCAGACTGAGGAAGGGCAGGCTGCCAGGTCTGGCTGCGGCTTGAATCCAGTCACTGTGGGGGCCAAGTTGGGCCAGCGTAGGCAGAATCCACCATTTTCACATTTTCCTGGGTGGGTGTGGACGCTGAAGGCTGGGGCAGGCAGGACACCTTGTGTACCCCATATGAGGTGACCGAGTGTGCACTCGGGTGGCGCCAGCTGGACCCCTCAATCAGGCCCCAGGCAGGCAGGGGAAGTGGACTTCCAATGCACCGGGGTTATATAAAGTGACCAAGGCTATGACAAGGGGGCTGGCAGGGTCAGGACAGTGTAAAAAAGTCTCACACTCACATACCACACAGACACGCAAACATACAGATCGGTAAAAACATGAGGCTGACCTCTGTCCTCACACCACACTCTGCCGGCCCCCAGTCGCCTCAAAGTCAGACACACTGGAATGACTTCCCTGCCCAAAGTCAATGAAAATCCCTTCGGAGTCTGAGTCTGCAGACTCCAGGATCTGGTCCACTAGTGTCTCTGGGCTCGAGGTAAGTGGAGAGCCATGGGCTGGGTCCTGCTCTGGGGAGTGGACAGGGGGGTACAGTCTGCTGGGGCAGGGCCCCAAGTGAGGTGTTGGAGACGGCCTGAAGTCCCCTGAAGGGCCCTGGCCAGGTGTGTCCACGAAGTCCTGGGGTTCAGGGCAGGACGTCATCTCAGAGACAGAGTGCCTGCGGATGCTGGTGCTGCCGGCCACTGCACCCTCTGCCTCGTGCTCGGCCACGGGGTTGAGCAGTGGTGTATTGTAGCTTTTGGAGCGTACCACCGGGTTCTTGGCCAGGATGTCCCCAGAGCGGGAGCGTCGTAGAAGGCGTTTCTCTACAGGGAGAGACGAGTCATATGCTGGATGGGGGTTGCTGGCCCCCATGCTCCCTGCCCATCTCAGATCCTGCCTCTGGGTAGAGGCTCAGGCCAAGCATCTATCCTCCAAGGGCCATGCAGGAAAAGGCTTGGCAGCTGCCGGTGCTGGCCTAGCCCTACCAGCTCTTGCCTGCCAGGAGCGAAAGCCTTCTGCTCAGCTCGAGAACTTGATCTGACATTCTCAGCTTCAGGCTGAGCAAGCAGTGGGACCATGTAGGTAGGAGAAAGGCTTCCATGTATGTACCTGCAGTTCCCAATAGTGGCCATGGGGTGGCACTGATAAGCGAGACAAGGCATTAGACCAGGAGGCCAGAGGGTCCCTCCATGGGGCAGAGTCCCACTGTCCTGAGCCACACAAGGTTTGGTAGGTGGATGTTTCTCAGCTGTCAGAATCTTGCCCAAGCTTAGATACCCCACTACAGGGCTTTATAGCCATAGTTATCGCCCCAAATAATGGTGAGCCTTCTAACCCTGTATCCTGGATGTTCCTGTGGTCTGGGATACTCCCCAACTCAGCAGCCCAGCAGTCACCAGAGGGACTCATTGGCCCATGTTCTCTGCTGGACCAGAGCTTGTGAGAGTGGGGCTTGGTTTCCGGGCTGGTGCACAGTAGGTGCCCAAGTTAATGTTGCTGAACAAGGGGGTGACATGGCCTCTGAGGGATATGCCAGGCTGCCCTCTGTCTACTTGCATCACAGACTGGCACCCTAGGGATGCAGGAGGCTCTCTGAATGGCGGGTTTCTGTGGGGAGTCCTCAGTTCCTGTTCTGGGGGTGTCAGCCACCCTTCAACATTCTCCACCTGGTGGGTCCAGGTCAGCACACACCAGGGGCAGCCTTGTTTCGTGACTACAGCAGATTTCCCCAAGGAATCCTGGTTCTATCACCACTGTCACCCCGGCCTTAGCCCCAGGGGGCCCTTACCGAGGATGCAGGAGTGGGTGAAGGGCCCTTCATTAGAGTAGAGGCCATAGGTGCCCAGGTATGGCGATACCACCTTTTGGATCAGAGTCTCTAGGCGCAGGTAGTCCTCGGTCACGCCCCTGGATTCATGTACTCCCTGCAACAAGAGAGTGGGGTTCACATACCTGGACCCAAGTAGCCTGTCCCTGCAGACCCCCCCGAACCCCCGGGTGGGAGAATACTCCTTGCTGTTCCAGTTCCCTCCATGGCTGGACACCCCATGCCATAGGAGGATCTACCCTGGAAGCCCTGGGGTCCTGGGGGTGCTTTAGGAGACATGAGCTGGCCTAACCCAGGAGGACCTAGCTTATCCTTTGAGATCCTGCCCCTAATCTGCTCAAAGGTCAGTCACATCCCCAGCCCTTGGATGTTCCTGAGGTAAGATCTCATTATGTATCTCAAGCTAGCCTTGAACTTGAGATTCTCCTGCCTCAACGCTTTAGAGCCAGGATTGTAGGTATGTGCCACCATATCCCTTCCTATTCCATTTCTATAAATATTTTTTGTAAATCTTCGAAGGTTTTTTTTTTTCTTTTTTCTTTTTTTTTTTTTTTTTTAAAAAAACCCACACTTTAAATTGGGGCTGGAGAGCTGCTCAGCCGGTTAAAAGCACTTGACTGCTCTTGCAGAGGACCCAGGTTCAATTCCCAGCACCCACATGGAGGCTAACAATCATCCATGTCCTTAAGTCCAGTTCTAGGGGAATTTGACACCTTCCTCTGATTCTGTGGGCACTGTACAGCATGGGTGCACTAACATACATGCAGATAATACACTCATACACATAAAAATAAAATTTAAGCTGGGCGTGGTGGTGCACGCCTATAGTCCCAGCACTTGGGAGGCAGAGGCAGGCAGATCTCTGTGAGTTCAAGGCCAGCCTGGTCTACATAGTGAGTTCTAGGACAGCTGGGGCTACAAGGAGACCTTGCTTCAAAAACAGAAAAAAAAAAAAACCTTTAAATTTTATTGTTTTTATTTTATGTGTACGCATGTATTTCCTGCATGTAGATAAGTGCACCCGTGTCGTGCAATGCCCATGTAGGTCAGAAGAGGCTGTCAGATCCCCTGGGACAGGAGTTATGGACAGTTGTTAGCTGCCATGTGGGTGCTGGGATTCGAACCCGGGTCTTCTACAAGAACAACCAGTGTTCTTAACCACTGAGCCATCTGTCCAGCCTGCAAAATAAAAAAACCCTTTAAATTAATGAGCTATGTGTGGTGCACAAGAGTGCAGGTGCCTGTGGAAGTCAAAGGGATCAGATTCCCCAGGAGCTGGACTACAGGAGGCTGTAAGTCACGTGATGTGGTTGCTGGAAACCGAACTTTAGAACAACAACAAATGCTCCTAGCTGCTGAGCCGTCTCTCCAGCCACACCTCTGTAAGTCTGATGAAGTTACATCTCCCCTGCCCTTGACACAAGTGAAAAACAGGCCTGGGGCCTCTGGCACATGGCTATTGAGTGTGACCAGAACCCCATCACTCAGACCCCCAGGAGGAACTGTGATGGGGGAGGGGAGCGTCAGCGGCACATAGTAGGCCTCAATACACGGCAACCAACAGCTGTAAAGTGAGATCCACTCCAAACTTTAAACAGTGGAGGCCAAACATGAGGTCATGGGACAAGTTTACGGCAGACTACATCAAAGGGGCACGGTAGGCATGGAGACAGGTAATGGGGACAGTTGGTAGGTGGGGCACTGGTGGTAGAGGCTGCGGTCCTAAATTCCTGGACAGTGGAGCAGTAACCAGAAAGTGGCACAAGACATAGCAGCCAGCAGGGGGCAGCACCATGCAGGCCGTGGCTGCCATTTCCCACCCCTGAAATCCCAGCCCCTAGCCCCCTGGGGACTGAACCTTCCATGGCTCCCGTTACCTATCTCCATACCTACCATGCCCCTCCTGTTAGGAGGTCTTCCTCTCGCACAGAAGGTAAGATTGATGGCTCCAGCCTCTACCCAATCAGACCAGACCAAATCTATGGAAATTCTGCTCACAGGCCAGCATCCAGCTCGGCTCCTGCAAACCCTGCACTGTAGCCCCTTTCATGCTACAGAATCTTGACTACTTCCCTCTGCCCCAGACCTGATCCACAGACCACAGTTTTCAAAGTATTTCCACATGTACTGGGGACTTGGCACCTGTGAGGGTCAGTCAGGGTGACAAAATGGGGCAGTTGGCAGACCCTGCATTCTTGTAACAGTAAGGAGAGTTGGCACAGTGTAAGGTGCTGTGCCCACTGCAGGCTGGTGGCCCAGGGCTTCCCATTCCTGGGGCCAGGGCCATTATTCCAGCTACACCAGTGGGCTGCTAACAGCTGGACTCCCTGAGGAAGGTCAACTGTACCAAGTATCTGGAACCAGTGTGTGTGCGTGGTGCATGCTCCCCAGCCCCAGTGACTGACAGGACATGAAGACCCACCCCTACCATGAGGAATACACTTCTGGTCCAGTTCATACCCCAGTCCTGAAGCCTAATCTGACCCCTCTCTGCTGTCTGTCTCTTCCCACCATCTCCCTGTCTGCATCCCAGGTCTCCCAACCCTTATCGCACCTGCAGCACCAGCAGCATCTGTGCAATGGCGGGGGGTACTCGGGCGTGGGCACGGGCCAGTGCATCCTCCAGCTTCACGCTGAGGGTGATGGTGTTCCGGAAGTGCAGCAGGGCTAGCTGGCGCACTGATGGCTCCTTGCCCTGTGGACACAGGGAGCGGCACACTGACACCACTGCTATCACGCATGGCTTCATCTCTCCCCTCCACGTCTCGGGTGGGAGCTGGGAATGGGCTCCATGACCTCAGCCCCTCCCTCATTCTCTCCCACATGATCTCTCTCTCAAGGACCCCCAAGGCCTCTCATGGTGGGCAGAGCCCTGCTCTGTGGCTGTGTTTCACAAATCTAGGCCCAGGAGCAGCATGATGTGATCTTGCAGGGACTGAGACAGAATGTGAAGGGCCATGGGTGTGCCTGGAAGAGGCAGCCTGGGTTGGAGCAGAGGGGCCCCCAGGCCGTAAGAGCCTCCTTCCCAGAGCCATCCTTGGTCCATGCAGTGGGCACCCAGGGCTCCCCTCACCCCCATGTGTCAGGCACACACCTGCACAGGGTAGAAGATGGCCTGCAGTGTGGGCAGCACATCGGAGAAGAAGAAATCCCAGGTTTCTGCCAGCGAGTCCAGCAGCTTCTGTCCTGTGGGCAGGAGGAGCCATTTCAGCATGTCCAGACACCCTGGCAGACCCTCCTAGCCACCCAGGATCAGGAGCTAAGCAAGTGTGGGCAGTGCCCAGAGTCCCTGCTGAGGCCTCATCTGCCCCTGCCTATTGCTCTACCTCTCATGCCTCTGCTTCCCTGTGTGGGGTGGTGACAAGGCCCACCTTCTATAGGGGTCAAAGGAGACTAAGTCAAAAAAGTGCTCAGGCCAGGACTTGGCAGCAGTGGACGCCAGCAGCTGGTTCTTGTCCCTCTGCTTGGGTGTGCCCTGCACAAGAACTGGGCTCCCATCCCAATCTTGTCAGACCTTTTCAACAGCCCCGAGTGCCCGGGGAGTCTGTCTACCTGCTTCCTATACTCTGCTGTCTGACTAGGACACAGCTATAGAGACCTGCTACGTGACAGGGAAGCAGGATACAGAATGGTCTTGGGAGAGACAAAGGGTGAGGGGGTGACCTCCAGGGTCAGTGACACTGGCTGCAGTCTCTGGCTCCCCGCCTTGAGGGCCCAGAGGGTCAGCAAGGAGGGCTTCTCAGAGGACATGTTATCTGAGCTGACTTCCCAGACGGACATCTCCTGACATGTGACAACCCCTCCCCATCCTCCACCAAAGGAGGAAAAAAAAAAAAGCAGCTGTATAGGAAAAAGGAACCTGGACAAGCTGTGGGGACAAGGCTGGCCCCAGGCAGGGTGGCACCATCTGCCAAGTGGGTGGCCCTTGGGGAACAGGGCAGTTAGGGAGCCCCAAACTGGCTCTAGGTTCTGTGGCTTACAGACCTACATCCACCAGGGTATACAGGACTGGGATGAAGGGCTGCTAGGTCTAGAACAAACAGGCCCAGTGCATATCGCCAAGGCAGAGCACCAGGGAAGGGTCCTCAACTGCGGGCCAGCCTGCCTATCTCCAAGTTTCCATGGGAACGAGGAGGCACCCCAAGAAGGTCTTACTTAGCTTTCCAGCACTTGTGGAACTCTCCCCCAAAGAAAGCCTCAAGTCTATGCAAGGTGAGGGTGTAGGGAACACAGGGATCTGGTCCATGGAGCAGGCTGGCTCCAGTCCTCCAGAGTGGAATACACCTGGCTCCAGGGACGCCTACACCTGGTTCCAGGGACCAGGAGGCAGCAGGAATGCCTGGGGCAGGCGGATGCTCATGGCCCGGTGGAACCCTGCTCCACACACAAAGTCCTTTCAGTTCCTGCCATCCTACAGGAAGAAAGGCTGCTCAGTCCCGGCTGGCTGTGGGGTGGCCCTGGGCACTGGCCAGGGCAGTGAGCCACCAAGCTCAGGCCATCCTCCAGCCCACGGGGCGCGCACGCTGCAGAAAGCAGATGTTCTAAGACACAGAATGTAGGTCCTGGCTGCAGCCGCATGCTGACCAAGGCCCAGAATGGCCTGGTCCCTCCCTGGCTGGGCTCTTGCCTGGGACTGTGGGTTGGGCTATCTACTAGGAAGGGGGGTCAGTAGAGGCTAGAGTCAGACACATGACCTGAAGCCTTGCTCTGTGGTTGCTGGGGACCTTCCTAAGTTCTTCCACCTGGACCCAGCAGCACCATCTGTGAACTGGGCAGAAGTCCCTAGGGATTTATGTCAAAGCACCCAGTGTTTGCTGCTAATGTGACATGGCTTGTGTGAGTGCGTGCACCTTGCTTGGTCCTCAGCCAGAAGTAGAGGAGGAGGAAACTAGAGCGAAGAGGCACCAGCCTGGGTGTGACAGGCTGGGGCTCCATGCTGGCTGTCACTGGACAGTCAAGCTCTCCTTTATTCAGTTCCAGAGTGGTGGGAACCAGTAGGAGAGAGCCAGGTGGATCCAGCTCCAGTCCACAGACACCCAGGGACGACCACAGGGAAATGACACAGGGAGGACTAACTATATGGCGCAGGGAGGGGGAAGACGCTGGGCTGCTGGGGCATGGATACACAAGCTACATGGGGTTCAGGTCCTTGGCTAAGTGAGAGACAGCAGATCCCAGCCCTGACAGCATAAGACTACTGTGACCCCAAGTGGCTAGCTGGGTACATTCCTGTGAGGTGCCAGGCCAGAGGTCCTCCTGCAGGAAGCCCTCTGCCCTCTGCCTCTAGTTGGCCCAACCTCCAGGAATCGCCATTTGTGGGCTCACGTCTGAGGCCTCACTGGAGGCTGCAGAGGGGGTAGGTACCCACCACCTGCCCCCCCATGCATCCCCTCCAGCAGTCACACACAGAGGGCACAGCTGGCTCCAGGGAGTATCTCAAGGGAGAAGGAATTTCATGGGGTAAACCTTGGGAAGGGAGGCCAAGGTGGCTGACCAGGGCACAGATGGATGCTGTCACTAGTCTAACAGGGGGGGGCTCCTCAGCAGACACACGTGGAGGCCCTATCCAGGGGCCACCAAGGTGGCACGAGCCCTGCCCTCCCCAGGGCCTCCCTTGACCCTGATCTTCAGTATGCAGGCCTGTCACTACCTTATCCATGTCTCTGTCCCCATGGAGTTTTTCCATCTCTATGTCCCCAGAGACTACCTGGGGCCCTGACATGGATGGAGATCATTCAACTGACCATTTAGTAGGTGGCCCTGGTGGCTGACATGTTGAGTAAGTAAGTCATGTTTCACAGTGGCCTGCTGCCTGCTGCTTGCCCCAAGGCCTCCAGGTCAGACAATGCTTCTCAGGACCGCCCTCTGTCCTTTCCCTGAGGCCCAGAGTTACCCAGCTGAGGCCTCACAGACCTCACAAAGCTGCCCTTTTCTGAGGACTCAGCTCCCCTGGCTGCGCTGGTGGGAGGCGCAGGCACCGCGGGGAATGTGCTGTGTCAGGCTGGTCAGGAGGACGTGGGAGGCCTCTTCCTCAGGTGCCAAACACTCCTGGTGCCAAGCTGTAGGCTTGGCTGCTGACTTCTCCAGAAAGCCCCTGGACTTGGGCTCCCTGGGCCTCCTGCTCAAGTCCAGTGGTTTCAGGGTTTTCTCAGTCCTGCCTTGGCTAGCCTTGCCTGACACATGTGGGCAGATGATGAACAGGAGTCTCCTGGAATGAGGCAGGCCTCTGGGCCTCAGCTTCCTGTTCCCCGAGGTGGGCTGACAGCCCTCTGCTCAGGGCCCAGCAAGGACTGACAAAGGAACCCAACAGCTAGTGAGTGACAAGTATAACCCCGAGGACCAGCCACCTGCTCCACATCCAGCTCTGACAAGTACTGCATTGTGGCCTGAGCAGAACTGAGTGCTTGTGTCTCCTTCACAGGGCTGCTGGGGCACCCAACCAGCCAGGAGATGCAACAGGCCAGGGACAGACTATAACAGAGTGAGCACATACCTGCTACCAGGCCCACAGAGGTGCACAACAATCGCTCACAAAGTCCACAGTCAGCAGAGGGCCTGATGCACAGTAGGGAGGTGCTTATCAAATGCTCATAGCACGAAGCCAGCACAGGGACTGGTATACAGTAGGTGCTTGTAAAATGTTCAGGGTCTGAAGCCAACATAGAACCTGGTGCACAGCAGGTGCTTGCCAACTGCTTATGGAACCCACAATTGGCACAAAGCACGACACATGATAGGCGCTTGTCAAATGTTCCTAACATTCATCTGAACCTAGCACAGGACCTGATATACAGTAGGCACCTCTCAGGTGCTCACAGGACATGAAGCCAGCACAAGGCCAGATGCTCAGTGGGAATTTGCAAATGAGAACTGGTGTGTGCCAATCCTCTAGGCACTGGCCTTGCCACACACCCATCCCTCCCTAAAGGAAGCATACCTTGGCTATTGCCCCAAGACCCTCTAATACCTGGGGTCTGAAGTGCCAGGGACCAGCAGGAGGTCAAGGCCCTCTACCCAATGATGAGACCCGAGTCAGGCAGGGAGGCAGGTTGGGATTGCAGGACCTTGGGAAGGACCAGGGGTGTATGCCGTTGCATTATGCGCCAGGTTCAAATCCTGTCTTAGCCCCTTCCCTGCAGTATGACCTAGAACAAACTGCCCACTACCTCTGCTGTCCCCAGGTGGGAACAAGGACCTTTACCCTAGCCAGTTCTCTAGTCTGTCTCCCAGGCAACAAGAGTCCTCTCAGGGTTTGGATATGAAGTAGCCCCCAAGGCCCGTGTGTTATGGACTTGGTTCCCAGCCATCAGTGCTGCAGAGGGGAGTGGATCCTGAGGGTGCTGGTTTCATCACTGGACTGACCCATAGACCAGTTCGGAGCTGAATGGGCTTTACAGGTGGGGCCTGGATGGAGGAAGTGGGTCACTAGGTGCGATGGTTAATACTGTCAACAGGATTTAGAATCACCTAGGAGACATACCTCTGGGTATGTCTGTGAGTTTCTAGGCTGGTTTAACTGAGGAGGGAAAGACCCACCCTCATTGTGAGCAGCACCATCCAGGACTATATAAAAAGAAGAATGTGAGCTGGGCCCCAGCATTCATTCGGCTGCATGGGACTGGCCTCCAATCAGCAGACTATGGACAGATGCCTTCACCCAAGCTTGGTTGCACCCACTCACCTAGGATCATCACAGCCAAACTTAACTGTTTAGCTCCTAAAGAAAGGAGGGGCAGAGAGAGTCAGCCACACCTCCTAACCAACCAGTAGGGGCTAAGGGTATAGAAGCTGAGGAGGCCCTAGGGAGGCTTTCTCCATTTCCTGCAGTGGTGGGGAGGTCACATCCACGCCTGGACTAAAACTTTTCAGTGCAGTGTGGCACACCCACACTCCTGTGAGGAAACCCCATGAACTTACTGCTCTCCCAAACCGCAGTTTGTGAAACTGGACCTCTGTTTGTCATAGGGACCTAGGGAGCTGCTGGACAATGTCTGTACCTCCCAGAAGGAATTTTAGCTGCATGTCTCTCTGCTCCCCGACTGCAGATGTGACGAGCTGCCTCGCGCTCCTGTTACTGTGCCTGTTACCACCATGGTGAGGGGTACTCTCAAACTATGAGCAAAGTAGTTATTTCCTGCAGCTGCCTTTTTAGGTATTTTGTCACCATGAGAGAAGCCACACACTGAGAAGGGTTCTGAAGGATATGCCTTGCTCCTGTCCCTTCCTCTTGCTGTCTCTCTCCTTCCTGGCCACCAAGAACTGAGCAGCTTTGCTGTGCCATGAAACTCAGCCCCATCTCACACTCAGTGTGATCAGGCCAAGCGTCCTACACTGTGAGCCAAACATACTGGTTAGCGCCGTTAACTTGACACAATATAGAATCACTTGGGAAGAGACTCAATGAGGGATCATCCAGATCAGGTTGGCTTGTGGGAGTGTCTGTAGGGGATGGTCTTGATTATTAACTGATGAAGGAAGGCCAAGCCCACTGTGCGTGAGACCATTCCCCAGGGAGGGGTTTGGGGGTAGGGGTGAGGGTTGGTTCTGAACTCAGAGAGGGGAAACGAAGCTGAGCACAGGGGTGGCGAGCAGGCAGCGTGCGCTCCTGTCTGTCTGCTCCTGACTGTGGACGGACAAGCTCCTGTCTTGACTTCCCCCCAATGACAGGCTGTACCTTGAAACATGAGCCAGATAAAGCCGTTCGCCACTCAGTGGCTTGTCGTCAGGGTATTTGATCAAGCAATACAAACGGAGCTACGGCGCCCTTTGAGCTGTTTTCGTCAGGTATTCTGTCACGTGGTGAAAAGGTGAGCAGCTGGGTCCCAGCAGGCAGTGAGATAAAGCAGAGGGCCTCTCCCTGGTGTCTCACAGTCCTCCTGGGCTCCAAAATGTTGGGGGACAGGGAACCCCAAGTTCCCCTCTTGGGTACAGACTTCAATCCTGCTGCCCAAGCCTCTGTTTTGCCAAGCCCTCCTAGCCAGAAAGCCACCCCTCACCTAGAACCTGCTGTGCTACTGTCTCAGACACCAATTATAACTAGGCCACGGGCATGGCCATGCTAGTCCCCTACCTCCATGCCAACCTGGCCACGTGGTCCCAGACTCACCCTCGTAGAAGCGGATCTTGTCACGCAGGATCACCATGCCCTTCGTCAGCAGCTGGTTCTGAAAGTCGATGGAAGTGCCATCACTAGCCTGCGGAGTCCCAGAGTAGGCTGGCTAGCTGGACCCCCAGAATCTACCAACAAGCAGCAGAGGCCCAGACAAGGGGCAGTGACACAAGACCCCACCCTTCAGCTACAGTTAAAACCCCTGCCACCCTGCAAGGTAAGCCCTGACCCTGCTCTGGCTATCACAGGACAGGAGGTGGCTATAGGGAGAGCCTCTAACGGACAGACCAAGCTTGAGGCCTCCAGTGCTGGGCTGAGCCAGATGTGCAGCCTGCTGTACACATTCAGCCACCAGGTATGGTGATAGTGGTACACGCCTCCAACTCAGCACTCAGGAGGCTGAAGCAGGACTGTCAGGAGTTCAAAACCAACCTGAGCTACACAGCGAAACACTGCCTCAGAAGCAAATCAACAAACAGCACTACGAGGGGAGAGGGATGCCTGGCCTCTTAGCCACTACACACGGGACCTGCGCATGCTGAGGGTTCGTCAGTCGAAAGTGGCCCCAGCCAGTGTCCACTCACAGCTGAGCAGGGAAACAGGATGTGCCCACATGAAGAACACAGGCAGAGGCCGCCACAGGGCCAAACCTCAGAACTCGATACGGAATGGAAGAAGCCAGATGCCAAAGGCCACACATCTCATGCATCTACCAATAGGAAATGCCCAGTATGGGCAGATTTACAGAGAGAAGGTACATGTGTTTGTGGGTGGTGTGGAAAGAGGGCTAGGAATGACTGCATGCTGGCTAGAATGCTCTAAAGGTGTGGGCAGGGGATATACCTGTTGGCTAGAGTGGCTGCCTAGTATGGCTTAAGTCCTGGGTTCCAATTCCCAGCTCAGCATGAACTGGTGTGGTGGTACATACCTATAACCCCAGCACCCAGGAGGTAGAGGCAGGAGGATTCAGAGGTTCAAAGTCATCCTTGGCTATACAGGGAGTTTGAGGCCAGCCAGAGCTACATGAGATTGTGTCTCAATAAATAAACAAAACTGTGGCAATATTTGTATAGTTTGGCACACATACTAAAACCCGCTGACCTATTTAAAGGTGAGAAGCATGCGGTGTGAATTAGACTCCAATAAAGCCACCAAGTAGTATTTCTAATTGAGCATGCTGGTATGTGCCTGCAATCCTAGCATCCAGAAGGCTGACACAGGAGGACTGTGAGTTAGAGGCCAGCCTGGGCTAACACAGAAAGACTCTTGACTCATATTATTATTAATAATTCTTAAAAACCCTCAAGCCCTGTGATGTGAGAAAGCACAGGCCCATCCTGTCTCACCTATTAGCCTAGCCAAGGTGGGCTCCTTGCTGTGAGCCTGTGTGAGCGCCCCATCTGGATGGGGACACGGGTGCCCGCAATGGTCAAAGAGCAGCTGCTGTCAGTTCTCCTGGCTGTGTGGTTTTGAGCGGGCAGCCTCATCTCCCTGAGCCCCAGGATCCACAGTGACAAATTGACTGCACAAGCGCCACTCCATGTACTGTGGCACCTGGACAGATGCCTCGGTACTCAGCCTGCTCTACACCCTGACTCCACTGAGCCCTCAAGACCCCTCGTGTGCCAGGCCTTAGGACCCACCTACAGCTTATCATTTAACCTTCACAACAACCTGCATGGGTTGGGTGGGAAACTGGGTTACAGCTAGTGTATCCTCAGAATCTCCGCAGATAGGGGTGGAGGCTCTCCATACCTACCAAAAATGGGTAACCTGGGGCTGGAGAGATGGCTCAGTAGTCCAGAGCACTGGATGTTCTCACAGAGGACCCAGGTTCAGTTCCCAGCACCCACATGATAGTTAACAGTCATCTGTAACTCCAGATCTAGGGATCTGACACTCTCTTCTGGCCTCCTTGGGCACTGTATGCACAAGGTAAACTTACATACATGTAGGCTAAACACTCGTACACATAAAATGTAAATAAAAAAGTTTTTTAAAAAGAGAGTGGGCAACTTGTCCTCTGTGGCCAGCAAGGCCCACCTACCTGCAGGTACTCAGTGAAGAAGGACCCCAGCTCTGTCTTCAGCAGCTGCCTGTGGGGGGAAGGGAGATGAGAATGAGTTGAGGCCATGTGGTACTGATCAGAGGAGCCTAGGGCTGGAGACATCTAGGCAGCCAAAGACCAACCTGCTCGGTCCAGCAACATGGGTCCCTGCATGGTCTCTCTCCATGGCCCACAGAGTGGCTGGCTCACCAAGTACTTCCCCAACTCAAAGAAGAGAAGCCCGAGGGTCCCAGTGGAAGATGCTGGTTGGGGCTCCCCTCATACAGCTGAGGCTGAAGTGGCTCAGAGAGGCCAAATGATGGCCCTAGGCCACACACACAGCCCATGCTGGGTTAGCATCCAAGTCTCAACTCTGTGAACAGTGCTGACAACTCTTCTTGAATTCCACAATGATCGCAGGCTGAAAATGCATGGCCACTGATCTCCACACATCCTCATGTGCAGTGCCAAACTGATCAGAAGTCTTCACTTTTCAGGTTCCTGTTTCCCACCCGGGAACTAGAACTAGTCTTGAATTACAGGTAACGTTCACCTGCACAGTTCTGACATCTAGGAATTCTAGCTACTGGGGTTTCAATGACACCAGTTCCCATGACCCTGACTGAGTGACCACCTGATAAGCTTCTCTCCATCCTGACTGGTGGCCAACCATGGCACTTCCTTCAAAGTCACTCTGTGGCTGGTCTCGATCTCCTGTCTACCAGTTCATGCACGCACACACGCACAGAGCACTTGGTCACATCATCTCCTTGCTCTCTAGTGGTAAGTCCCAAGATGCTTTATAAAAATAGACAAACCAGGGCTGGAGACACAGCTCAGTGGCAGAGTTCTAGCCTCACACGTACAAGGCCCTGGGCTCAAGCCCTAGAACATGTAACGACAAGCTAAAGGAAGTGTGAGGATAAAGAAACCACCAAGCAAAAACAAAGAAACAAAGAGAACCTGGCCAACCAAGGTGACCTGAGTGAAGGCAGGCAGAGTGCTCCCTGACTGGAGGGTGCTGCCCCATACCTGCAAGCTGAAGATGCCCGCGTCCAAAATGCACTTACAAAACCAGGTGTGGAGGCACACCCCTGTAACCCCAGCACTCAGGAGGCAGGGGCCAGGAGTTCAAGATCATCATCGGTTATACATCGAACTTGAGACCAGCCTGGGCTAAGTGAGACCCTGTCATATATAACACGCATGTAGTAAACGAACAAAAAACCTACATGCACTCACTCCATCTACTGAACATCACAGCTCAGCTGGGCCCACTTTGGACATGCTTAGAACCCTGAAGTTAGCATCCTGGTAGTCCACATTTAACATGAGTGTATTTTACAATAAACTGTTGCCTCTCAGGTAATTTGCTGAAGATTATACCGAGCATTGAGAAACAAGAGACATGTTGTAAATTAGAAGCAGCAACACTCTGATGAACGCTGTCAAACTATTCTTGTAAGGTTTGCTTGTTTGAGATGGGGGTCTTGCTATGTACCTCAGGCTGGCCTCCAACTCACCAAGTAGCCCAGGCTGGCCTTGAACACACAGTGGTCATTCTTCAGAAGGAGAAACTAAGGCTGGGAAGATGCACAACGAGGTCAGAGTCAGGTCAGGGAACCCAAAGTTGGTGCCCTGGTTCTGTGGATTAAAAACAAGACTGACAACCTGGCTGGCACAGGGCACACACCTGTAATACCAGCACTCAGGAGTTAGGCAGAGGCAGGAGTATCATTGCAAAAGAGAGGGAGAGGGACAGAGAGAGAAGGCAGGCAACCAGCCTTCCTTAACACCAAAACTCTTTATGCTTCAAAGGACACTAAGGAGGTTAGGGGACATGGGTGTGGGGTGTGGGAGGAAAGGTCTCAGGTGACAACCAGTAAGGTCTAGACTCTACCAGGGGCTTCCAATCCTTTGACACTGTGTATGAGGTGTCATCCACGGCTATTCTGGGCCACATTCACAACTATCCCAGGACACGTGGCCCAAGGGCTTCAGGTTAAACACCTGCTAGACCAAGAAACACTGACAACCAGTGCACTCGATGACAAGCAGCTGAGGACGGGGCCAGCACCTCTCCAAAGAGGACAGAGGAACGGCCAGTGAGCACTGGGAAGATTCTCCAACCCAAGTCACCAAGAGATGCCAACCAAAGCCACAAGGGTTCACCCTAGCACCCATGGTGTTGTTAGGGTCCCAACCAGAAAGAGTGGGTGGCAATGGGACAGCAATCCTCGCTGCTGCTCACACAACTGGGGGGTGGGGGTGGGGTAGCTTCGACAAACTGAAACCTAAGTTACCACAGGACCTGGCTAGGACACATGCCAGGAGAAATGGTATCACACGTCCATGTAAAACCTTGCACATGGAAGCTGGGCATAGTGGTACACACCTATAATCCTGACATTCATGAGACTGAGGCAGGAGGATCATGAGTTCAAGGCCAGCCTGGGTGACAGAGTAAGACCCTGTCTTAAAAACCAAAACCAAACACTCCCACAACCCTAAACCTCTTGTGCCCTGATGCTCATAGCAACATCCAGCACTCTATCACACCCACAAGATCAGACACCAAGTGGATGCATTAAAAGCTTCCTGCTCTGTTCAAACCTATCACAGATCCACACTCCAACAAACGGAGCTTGAAAGCATCATGGGATGGTGCAGAGGCAACACGGGAGGCCACTCAGCGTGTAGCATGAGTCACATGAAATGTCTAGAGCAGGAAAGCAACAGATGTGGGCATGCTTGCCAGCCCAGGCTGGGTCATGAGCAGTGGCAGCTAGTGGGTAGGGACTCTGGGGTCATGAACGTGTCATGGGAGTACTGTGAGAGTCATATGACCACATGAACATGCTCCAACTACTGATCTGGACACATTAAGAGGGGGCATTTTATGGTGTATGAATTTTACCCGAATACAAATTTACACAGCTATGTGCCACAGTGACAAGAGGCAGGTCTGTCAAGGACACCTTGCTACAGGGTCACACAGGATAACCACAGGGCTAAAAACTTATCACTGAGTTTATCTTTTCCCCTAAGATTTATTTTTATTTTGTGTGTGTGTGTGTGTGTGTGTTTATATGTGCAAATGCCCAGAGACTAGAAGAGGGTGTCATCTGGAGCTGCAGGCACTTGTGAGCCAACAGACGTGGGTGTCGGGAACTGAACGCCAGTCCCCTGAAAGAGGAACCATCTCTTCAGCCTCATCACCGAGCACCTCTGCTGTACCTTCTTGATGTGCAGATACACAGCACTATGTCACAGTGGCCCAGTGTTAAGCACAGTGATCTGCTATCCAGACTGTAGGCTGGGGTGCACTGGACAGGCTATACCATATGCCACAGGCCTGGAGCTGGATCTATGCCTGGATTTGTGCAGGTCATATATATTCTGTGATTATCACATACGGGGAAACTGATGAGGCGTTTCTGTCATCAAACCACACACGGCCAAGTCCTCAATTACAGCTCACCATCCCTATCCAGGCCTGGGGCATGGCCAAGGGACTACCACCAGCCATGTCCATAATGGACCCTACTATAGTGAGGGACCCATTATTTGCATGCAGTGGCCAATAGCTCCAGCTATAGACTCTCATGGGATAAAAATCAGTGACCAGTTATAGAACTGACACATAATTACACCCAGTTAATTTGTGTGTGTTTGAGGCAGGGTTTCACGTATCCCAGGCTGGCCCTGGACACCTGATCCTCCTGCCTCCACCTCCCGAGTGCCAGGATTGCAGGTGTGCCCCACCACGCCTGATGTATGGCATCTTGGGGATGGAGTCCAGGGTTTCATGCAGCAAGCACTCTACCTACTGAGCCACATCCCAGGTCAAGACCTAGTTAACTTAATATGGCCACATGAAGGAGAAAGGCTGGCATGAAGCAGAATGCAGTTCTGAAAGGCCATGGGCCTTGGAGTCAGGGACCCAAGTTCTAGTTCAGTCAGCAAGCCACTCAACTCTCCATCTGTGACTGTGTCTCTATAAAATGCAAACACCAAGGCATGGCCCCTCAGGGCTGTGTTGGACAGCGAAGAGTTTCAAGGCACAGAAAACGCTCAGCACTTGTTGGCATGGAGCCAGGCTTCCCTGAAAACCCATCACCATTATTTAAGGATTCTTGGCCTTTTGTTTTGCACTGGTTAAAAACCAGCTGCCCCGAGATCAAGTTACACCCAGGATCCAGTCTCCCATACTCTGACTTCTGCCTGTTGTCCGCAGTCAGGAGCCAGGGCACAAGGCAGCCTCTCTGTGTCCTATCCCACACACACCCCAGGAAGCAGGGTAGCCCCTAGGATTGGGGGCCTCTTGGAGAGGAAGTGAGTTCCCCAATACCAGAGGGATCGGGGGTGGGGACTGGGCTCCACCTGCTTTGTGTATTTTAAAATGTCCCCTTTGCTCACTGTAAGAGTAGCAGCAGATTCTTTGTGTGCATGCGCACATGTGCGCGTGTGTATGCGGTGCAGAGGAAGGCACCCAGGGCCCTGCATAGGCCAAGCAATTCTTTAGGCTGCTGCAAACTGATTTCCCAGAGCTGAAGCGTGTTAGGAAAACCAGGCACCCTGGGCTGGCCAGACGGGCTGTGAGCAGCAGGGCATCGTGAACAGTGACTATCAGTGGGCTGGGGAAAGCCCCTTGCTCCTGTTCTCTGTGACTCTGCCCAGGCCCCTTCTGTCCTCGGCCTCAGTTTACCCATGTAAGAGCTCGTTCTGGTGAGCATGGGTGTGGGATGGTTGACCCTGTCTTCTTTTCCTTTCTCCCTGCCTTCAATAACAAGGGGAAAGCTTGCTACTGATTGTTCCAAGACTACTTATGACCTGGGACAGGGCACTCTGGGTCTGGGCTGGAGGTGAACAACATAGAGCCCAAACCCACCATTGTACCAGCTGCGTGACCACAAGCAGGACGCCTGGCCACTCTGAGCTCCAGGCTCTTTCATTGATGCAGGCTCCCAGCAGCCATAGCTGTTCATAGTGGTGGCCTGAGAGCTCTCCTCAGAAGCCTCACAACCTGGTTCCTGGCCAGTGACAGGAAATGAGGGGCGTTCGTGGCTGGGACTGTGTTTCCGGAAGACACTGGGTCATTAAGCAGGTGGGCCCTTCCTCTTTGTGACAGAGTACATATCCTTTTCGATGCTCCATGCTTTGGGAACTAGGCATTCTCTCGAGTGACTAAGTTCCACCCTAATGGTCCTAGAAGGCTGTCTCCAGGAGGGTGGGGTGCCAGTCCTCAGGCCAGCAGGAATGGCTGATGTCCAGGGGGTCCTTGTCCTGGCCCAGTGCTGGCCCCCAATGCCTGGGGACCAGGGGCCTGGTGGCTTCCCACCCCAGGACAGGCAGACACTCACCTGACACCCTCATTGAGGGTGAAGAGCTCCTGGTCAGGCAGTCCCTTGCGCTGGAAGACAGCAATCACCCCGTTCTGGATGCTGTGGGTAAACGGAAGAGTGGTCACCAAGAGACAATGGGCCCTCCCACTTCCCACCAGGCCTTCCTCCCGTCCTGTCTGCTCAGCCCCTCCTAAGAGTTGGCACTACCTATACACTATTGTAACTCCAGGTTTGACCTCCTGGTGGGTCATAGGCCCTACCACATACCCTGGAGTCCAACCTGGGCAGGCTACCCCGCCTCCTGTTCTCCCAGCTCCTCCTAGCTGGGCCTCTGTATGTCTGCGCCCGCCGGACTTTGTCTCTACACTGTTGCTTCTGTCTGCCCCCATCTGTGCATCACCCTCATTTAGCCCATCATGGCTCCCAGGCAGCCAGTGAGGCCCCAACCCCAACAGCCTTGGCCCCCAGTGTGAACAGTGCAGCTGACCCTGTCCAGACCCCTGCTGATTAAAACCCTTCAAAACAGGAAGCTGCTAAGGTTTAGAAAGGGCCAAAGGGTCAGGCGTGCAAGTTCTGTGGGCTGACCCAGGTACCTGCAGCTGCTGTGAAGGCCTGGATGTGTGGCTGTGTTTATTCATACAATCAGGCCACAGGCTGAATTTGGTTCAAGGACCGGTCTGAGCAGTCCTGCATGGAAGCTTCTATCACCATGAACTTCAGGGAGCCTCTGAGCTAAACCATGCTGAACCCCAGCACCCCTACATAGCTCATTCTTCATTAGCTAGGAAAGTTGCTGCCGGCCACAAGACCTTTGCACATGCCTGTTTGGTTCTCCCTCTTCTCAGTTCCTTCTTTCAGATTACAGCTCCCTCAGCTCTTATAGCCTAGTCATGTCCTGGCATGTTTCTGTGACTGCTGGATTAATTTGTCTCCACCACTATGTATAAGACCTGTGAAGGTGAGGTCCTGAGCTGCCCGTCAGGGGGCCGTGCCTCTGGCTCAAACAGCACCTCGTTCAGTGTCCAGTGAGCGCTTGGCTTGCCTTTGGGCTCCAGGCAAAGCCACCCTGACACTCACTCTACCTTCCAGTTCCTTACTGACTCCTGATGTCCTTTCCAAGTCCTGCAGGTGACACAAACTTGTCCCCTACACCTAGGCATCCTGAGTGTCTCAACCCCACAGTGCACCAAGCCCCCAGGCACTGCCATAGCTCTGGTGGGGCAACCACTGCCATACCTGGAAGCCCTTTTGTTCTGACATCAGACTGCCCCTCCCTCCCTCCCTCCCCCCCACTCCCCGGCCTTTTTGAGACAGGGTCTCCCTATAGCCCCAGCTGGCCTGGAACCCATTATGTAGACCAGGCTGGCCTTGAACTCACAGAAATCCACCTGCCTCTGCCTCCCGAGTGCTGGGATTAAAGGCGTGCGCCACCATGCCTGGCCAGACAAGCCTCTCTTTACCGCAGATCCTTAAGCCCTCTCTCCCTTTCCATGCACGCTGCACCCCAGCACCTGCTGCCCCCGTCACACCACAAACTCCAGACTTAGGAGGATGGCACCAGTGTTGGAGGCTCTTGTCACCTCCCCAGGACACACTTGTGGCTATGAAGTTCACTATGTGGACCAGCTACCACACATTCAACCTAGAGGGGACACTGGCCTTGGACTGCCATTCACAGCACAGAGCAGGTGGTAGCTACCACATCCCTGGTGTCCTGTGTTTTTATCAACTCCGCCCTTCTTCTGACTGCTGCCCACTGTGCAGACAAGGAAGGGCTGAGTTTTCCACCAGAGGTCACAGAGCTAATGACTTGGCCCTACACTGCTCCCTCTACTGAGCAGCACCCCTGCATAGGGCAGGGTCCAGGCAGGACTTCCGGTCTCCGTGTTATAGAGGGAACAGCAGAGTCCCAGACAGGCCAAGAATGCTTTGAGCTGAGCTCAAGCTCTGTGGGGAGCTAGCACCTTCCCAGTCCCAGCTGGTAGAGACCACACAGGACCAGGCCTGGACACCTACCTGACTTGGGGATCCTAAGGGTACCCACCCACACCACTGTGAGAGCAAAAGGTTGGGCTCAAGAGCCTAGAACTGCCCCCTGTCAGAAGCTGAGTGATCCAGGCCTGCAACGGGGTGCCAGTGCAGCTGCACCCCATTCATAACACAAAGGATGCAAACCCCAGCGGCACCCAGTGATCCAGGAAGGCAGTGAGCCCACAGCTGCTAGAGCGCTCTGTCTGCTTTTTCGCTCATTAACTGAGGTCAGTGACACCTCTTCCTGTGTAGGACGGTTTTTATTGTTAAACGGGATGAGATAAATCAAGCATAGAGACATGGGCTTAATGAGCTGGGGGCATGTTGGGTTGGAGGACTGTGCTTTGCAGACAGTGCTAGAGTTGAAGACCAGCCTGGGCTGCACAGTGAGCTCTTGGTCAGCAAAAGAGGGGAAAAAAATCAGGCGTGGTGACACACACCTTTAACTTTAGTGCTCAGTGGCAGGCCGGCTGTGAGTTCAAGACCAGCCTGGTCTACATAGTGAATTTGAGGCCAGCCAGAGATACACAGTGAGACCTTATTGCAAAATAAATAAACAAGCAAACAAATAAGTGTGGGGGGAGATCAAGGCCTTAGTCATTGCTGTTATTTACTTTCCATTATGGTGTTGAGTCAACCAGCTCTGATGAGAAAGCTGGTGCAGGACTGTGCCCGGACCCCACCGCGGCTCTGTCCTTGAACTTGGTCTGTGGTAAGACCCAAGAACCTTCCCTACCAGGCTGCGGGGCCTCACTCACGGAGACAGAGGAGTTCAGGGTGCAGGATAGCAGCATGTCCTGGGAGCCAAAGCAGGGGAGGGCCAACCTTGGAGGCTCACTGTGATTCCCAGCATCCCAGGCACAAATCCTTCTGTCCTCAAGGCCTGCGTACCAGCCTCTGGGGCCTTCCTCCCCCATTACACCATCTGGAGGGACCCCAGCCCACTCTGATACCATGATGCCCATCCCTCATCAGTGTACCTGGGTAAGGTCCTCCCCTTCCCCGACTTCCTGTGGCCTGGCAAACAACTGCACAGGTGCCAAGGAGCCCTCCTGCCCCAGGCTGCTTCCCTTCCTGCACTCAGTGGTGGGGGGGCACCCTGACCATGGATATCTTTTGGGAAGGCAACTTGGCTACTATTTCTGCGTCACCCCAGGCTGCCAATGGCTGAGCTGGCCACCCTGGGCCAGTGGAGGTGTGTCTCGACCCTCCACTTGCTCCTGCACCTCTGCCCAGCCTCCCACCCCCACCTGGGTGGCCTGGATTTGAGTTCTGCTCCATCTTCCAGGGCTCCTTGCCTTCCAGAGAATGAGAGCAAGCACACTGCCCAACTCCTGGGGAGTACAATCCTCAGCCTGGTGAATTGGGTACATACCACATCTTGGCAATACCAGGGCCAGGGGCTACCTCCTGATCCTCTCCTCACTGTCCTTCTAAATACCAACAAATGGTGGTGGTGGCCAGATCCCAGGTTACAGAAGAGAACACGGAGGCTCAGAGAGGCCAAGGAGCTTGCCAGAGTTACACAGCTTACTATATCCAGCAGGGCCAGAAGCAAGCCAAGACTCTGTCCCACAGCCCCACTGCCTTCACCCTTGCGGGTAAACAGGTTAGATTCCGTTCCTTCTGACTCTCCCAAGCTCTATGAGGCTCTAAGGGCTTTCCAAAGCCCAAACAAAAAAACCTTGTGCACTACTTGGGGAGAGAGGAAGGGTGGGGAGGGCCAGAAGAGACCATGTGACTTGTCCTGAAAGAGAAGTGAAACTCGGCCTAACCAGGCCACAGCCTCCTGACCAGAGTGGCACGCCTGTCAGAGCATCTGCACAGGGTCCCCAGGAAACCACAGGAGGCAGAGGGCCGTCAGGAGGAGGGCCCAGAGAGAACCACCCATGCCCCTGTCCCCAGGTGTGAAGCCCCACCCCTCTACTCTAGCCTCCCAGGGAAGGACAGGCTCTGGGTCTAAGGAAGGCAGGTGGGTCAGGTCCCATAGCAGACAGTAAGGGCACAAGGAGAAGCAGGAGCCAGCACTACCAATGGCTCAGCTTGAGATCCACTGTCAAAAGAGGCAGCCTAGTCCCTGTTCCTGATGGAGAGGAAAGGGCTGGTCCCTGAGGACCAGCCCTGCCTGGGTAAGAGAGTACTCGGGGCACTTACCTAATGCTGTTTGGGTTCTGCTGGGCCTAACAGGGCAGACTGACTCTACAGTGTCACCTGCCCAGACGGGAAGGGAGGGGGCAGAATGAGTCACTGGCCCAAGCCAGCGACGCTGCAGGGGTCTCTTATCCACCAGGGACCCTCCTCACAGTGCCTAGAGGATGGACAGTAGGAGAAGCTGTGTCCCCCTATCAGCCAGGTTCTTAGTGTCCAGGAAGGAAGGTCAATCCCTGAGCCCAACACAGGCATCCTATGACTGCAAAAACCAGCTAGAGACCTAAAAGCAAGTGGGACCTGCAGACAGCTGGAAGGCAAGAGATCTCATGGAGCTGGCTAAAGATCTTGTTAACAGGGCTCCCTCCTGGGGAGGCTCCAGCAATACATTCCTCCTGGTCAGGCTTCTAGAAGCACCTGTATCCCTTGGTTCCTTATCGTCAAGGCCAGTAATACTGGCCTTGGGGTCTTTGCTCCCTGGTCATGCCCTCCTCCTCTGACGTGCCCCACCTCTCACAAAACCTATGACCACACAGAGCCACCTAGACAGACCTAAGGCCATCTTCTCAGCCCAGGAACCTAATTTAACCACATCTGCTAACTCTTCTGGCCATATCCACAGGCTTAAAACCAGGGCACGACCACCTTGGGACCACAGCCCTGCTGATCACGCCCAGGACAGAGATAGCAAGCAAGGGAGATGAGGGTCAGGAACACCAGCCCAAGTCTGCAACCCCCACACCACCAACCCAGGGCCCGGTCTGTCCGGTCCTCTTTGGTTAAGGCCCCCAAGGCTGGGGAGTACAACACACTATAGAGGTAAACATGAGTGGGATTTAACTTCTGTTTCCTCTCATACTGGGGGCCTGGATGGTCTCCGAGTTCTTGTCTGTAAGTCGAGGGTGTTAAAGCCCCACCTCAAGGGCTATGGGATGGAACAACTCACTCAAGCCCACCTTTAGTGGTGCTGGGGAACATGGGTGCAGAGGACTCTATGGGGGCCAGTGTCTGAGCAGTCACAGCCCCAGTCTTTCAGGACTCCGGGAAGGAAGGTAAGGTCTTGAGGGCCCTTCTCCTCGTACACATCTGAGTCAGGACCACCAGCCCTGGACCATAGCTCTCATCAATTTCCCTGCCACACACCTTGTCCCAACTGGGACAGGAACTCACAGGTTCCCTGGACACTGGAATCCCCATCCCTCAGACCTGGTTTAGACCCCAGATGATGACATCAGGGGATCCTGATCACCTTCCCTTCTTCTTGTGGCCTCATTCCTCTGTATGTGGAGAAAGGCAGCCCACCTGGGAGAAGGCGGACTGGGGAAGAGAGCACACACATACCATGCTCAGTGTCCAGCACCTTGGGGTGCATTCTCTTCAGCTCCTGCCTAGGGCCCCCACGTGCTGGGGGACAGAGGTGGGTCCCTTTAGCTGGTTTACTTGGATCCTGGACATCTGATTTCTCCAGAGCCCTTAGGGGCTGGAGGCCTGGGACAGGAGGGCAAGTCACTAAGCCAGGTTGGGGCTAGAGAGTCTATCCAGGGGCACATCAGCAGGCTGGGCCGATCATGTCCTTTTGCTCGAAACAGCTTAAACCTGCTGGGAAAACAGCAGCAGATGCTTTGGAAACAGCTCCCAATACCAGGTAGTTGTAGTAGACAGTTCTCGAGGCAGGCAGGAAGGACATCAAGACTGTCCCGGCCATCACTTCACTCAGAGCACTTCTCATGCCCTCGGTAGACACAGGAAGCAGGGGCCGGGCAGCCAGTGTCCCCTGATCTGCTTCCTCCCAGTGCTGAGTGCCACCTGCAATTACCTTCCCCTCTGGCATCCTTGTTTACTTTCTGGCTCTGTCTGGGGGCTCCAGGCCAGGGCAGGCTGTTTGCTGTGGAACCTAGACCTCAGCCTGGCCCAGCTAGGATTAAGGAGTGAATGAACGGATAAACAACTGGCTGAGTACTTGGATTCTTAGGACAGAGAGCATGGTTTATTTTTTATTTTTACAGTCAGGGTCTCACTATGTAGCTCTGACTGGCCTGGAACTCCACCTGTCTCTGCTCCCAGGTGCTGGAATTAAAGGTGTGCACCACCAAGCCTGGCACCAATCAATGTATTTTTATGTGTATGAGGGATTTACCTGCATTGTGTGTGCAATACCCACAGAGGCCAGAAGAGGGCGTTGGATTCCCTGGAACTGGAATTAAAAGTTTTTAGCCATCATGTGGGTGCTGCAAATTGAACCTGGGTCCTCTAGAAGAGCAGCCAGTGCTCTTAACCTCTGAGCCACCTCTCCAGCCCCGAGACTCAGTGTATTTTTAACCCACAGTAGACAAGCAACAGAGGTGGCGGGAACTTCAGGGAAGCGACCAGGGTCACTGTGGTGGGCTGGACACTGTCCCCAGATGTCCCTGTGTAGCTGAGGCCTCCGACCTGAATGGGAAGTCTTGGCAGCTGTACTGAGTTCAAGTCTTGAGATAGCGTTCCTGGGGTGGGGTGGCCCTGAACTGGGGGCTGGTGACTTCACAAACAAAAGAGACTTAGGTCAGGTGAGGTGGCACATGTCTGTAAGCCCAGCACTTGGGAGGTAGAGGAAGGAGGATCAGACTAGAGTGAGTTCAGTCAGCCTGGGCTAAGAGAAACCATCACAAAAACAAAAACCAAACCCCACTGCACTGCCTCTACAAAACCAAAGAGACTTGGATAGAGAAGGCCTTGAGAAGGCAGAGGCAGGATCAGAGCAAGCTATGAGGCACCAGAGCCAGCAGAAGCAAAGTAGAATCCTTCCTAGAGCCCTCAGAGGGAGACAGCCAGGCCAAGTCCCATGTCCAGCCATGACAGAACACATTCCTATTGTTTGTGGGGGTCCAATGTAGCATGGCTCCAAGGATCCAGGGATACTAATGGGGTCAGAGGTTAAAGGGGGTATGCTTGGGCTCAGAAGGAAGAGCCAGAGCTTGGCCAGCTAGAACCTGCAAGTTGTAACTGCTGTCCTGGACCAAGGAACACATAGGGAGGTGGGTGGGCTGGCAGGGACTGGGAGGGGATGCTGGGCCCATCTCAAGTTCCTTCACCTTTTTTGAGTCTTAGTGCACAGCTGTGGGGAGGGGAACAGGCAACAAGCCATACAATCCTATGGGGTATGAGGCCTGTGTGCTCTGGGCTCCCCTACATCTCTGAGCTGGGGCAGGGCAGAATCTCCCTTGCTGGCTAGGATGATGACATGGTGAAGACACTGAATGGGCTGGCACAGTATAGGAGTGTGGGACACAGTGGGATCCTGAAGCTCAAGGCAGGGGAGTATCCCACCCAAAGGCCAGGCAGGTACCATGAAGGGGCCACAGGGCTCTGCAGTCTGCCAAGCCACCAAAGGAAAAACCTACAAAGGACTTAGGTGACCTCTTCCTCTGAGCCAGGGTAGATCAGGCTCTCCCACATGGGGTGAGGGAATGCCCACCAAGTTGTTGCTGGTGACTCCATAGAGCCACTCTGACACAAGTCCCAGGAATGCGCTTAGACTTGAGTTCTGAACTTGAACCTACTGTGTGCCAGGCACTATGCTCAGGAGGGCCTTACTATATGTTTTTTAAAAATATTTTATTTATTGGGGTTGGGGATTTAGCTCAGTGGTAGAGTGCTTGCCTAGCAAGTACAAGGCCCTGGGTTCGGTCCTCACCTCTGAGAATAAAAGGACAAAAAAAATTGTATTTATTATTTTATGTGTATGAGTGTACTGCGTGCATGTGTCTCTCGCACAATGCCTTCGGATGTCAGAAGAGGGCATTGGAGTCCTCTGGAACTGGAGTTATAGATGGTTGTTAGCTGCCATGTGGGTGCTGGGACTCAAACCCAGATCCTCTGTAAGAGCTGAGCCATTGCTCCAGTCCCGATTTATATTTATCCCAACAACAGCCCAGTAAGGTGGACAAACTCATTCACCCATGTTATCCAGAAAGAAACTGAGGACCAGAGATGTTAAGCAAACTGCTCAAGATTGTACAGCAGGAAAAAAGTGGAACTGAGCTTTGAACTAAATGCGCTTGGCTCCACTAAACCCTGGCCAGAAACAAAGGCAGTGGTATGGTCTTCCAGGCCAACAGAAGTCCTCTTTTCCTCCACTGTTCCCATCCAAGCCGGGGGAGAGCTGTGCAGGCCCAGTACGGACAGGGAAACTGAGGCAGGCAGCCTCAGCTCTCAAGCAATCTGCCACTTAGTGGAGGGCAGAAGCCACGTCCATGAGTTGACTGTGTTCCGCCTCTGCCGACAGGGGTCCCAGCTGGCAGCCGTGTCTCCAGGACCCTCACAAACTAGATGGACAGGAGATGTGCGTCCAAGTGACAGCCCCGGTCCCTGGAGGTGGAGCCCACAGCTGGTGACGCATCTGGCAAGGTTTCATTGCCTCATGTGTGCACTCGTGTGTGTGTGTGTGTGTGTGTGTGTGTGTGTGTGTGTGTGTGTGTGTGTGCGGGCGTGAGGGGGCAGCATCCACAGACCCCGGAACAGCCCGTCTCACACCCCCTTCCTTCCATCCCTATTTTCCTTTGGGTGGAAATAAGTATTTTTGAAAGGGCCGGGAGCAGACTCGCTGGGGAATCCCGCCAAGTGAACTATCTCCGACTCTCCGCACACAGCTCGGGGAGGGGCTTCATCCGCCTTGGTCTGGGATGGGCCCCCGAAGGGTCCCCTAAGGAATGTCTGGCAGCCGCCGCACCCCCGCGGACAGCTGGGAGGAGAGGGGTCCGGCGCGGAGGAGGCGAAAACCACCGCCCACGCCCGACACACAGGAAGTGAGTGCAGCGACACCCCCGCCGGGAACCCGCGAGGCTCGGGTGCTGGTGCTCGGGATGGGACCGACTTCCAGCCCCGCTCCGGGAGCGTCACGAGCACCGGGGCGCACGCAGGGAGGCCCGGGCTGGGCGCGCCACGCGGGATGGCGGGCTGGGCGCGGAGACTCGCGGCACTAACTTCCCTCCCCGCCCGTAAACTCCGGCGGCGGGCCGAGCTGCGTGCCAGGTGCCGCCCCGCCGCGCGTGTCCCGCGTGTCCCTCCCCACGCGGCCCGGCCGGGCGCCCTTACCTGTTCCAGGTGGCGTTGGCGCAGGCCCTGCGCTGCTGCGTACCGCGCTCGTCCACACCCGCCGCCTCTCTCTTGCCCAGGTCGCTGAGGCTGGGCGAACTCATGAACTTCAACCTGCGGAGAGTCCTCATGCTCACCCCGGCCCACGCGCGCCCTGCGCCACGCCACGCCGCGGGCCCACGCTGGGCCGCGCCCTCTACGAGGAGACCGGGCCGCGAGCGGGAAGCCCGGCCTCCCCACGGGGTCCCGCCCGGACCCTGCTCCTCGGCCCCGGGCCGCGCGCCGCCAGCCGGGCCCGGTTAATCATTGCTCCGCGCGGCGCAGCGTGGAGCGCTCGGAGCGCGGTCCGCATCGCCCGGCGCAAACGCAGGCCGGGGGCGGGGCCTCCACCAGAGGGCGTGGCGTCCGTGTGGGCGTGCCCGGAGGTGGGCGTGGCCTCGTGCTGGGAGGGCGGATCTGGAGTCTCCGAGGCCTCCATGCCACCAGACCTGTCAGCCCTGCCAGGGGTTCCGAGCTCAGCCCCATCCCTCCTTTCCACTGGAAGCCACCACGCAAAGGGGACACACAGTCCAACCCCAAGTGCCCACCTGGCTCCCAACACCGCGGTTGCCCACATGCACATGCACAGGCACCCACAAGTCCCCATCAGTGTCCCCAGTCTACAGTCACCTCTCCCAGGGGGTGGAGGAGGCTTTGACCATAGAGATCCCTGCAGACCCTTCACGTGGACACAGGCTCCTCCCACTGCAGATCAAAGCTTTCAGCAGCAGCCCCACCCTACCTTGGCCAAGCATGGGCCAGCCTGTCCTAGGCCCCCTACTCAGGACAGAAGCCAGGGACGGGGTCCCCTCAGGCAAAGACCTTGGCTGTCCAGAGGGTTGCTGCATTGGGAGCTACAGGTATGGAATGTGGAGACGCTCCCCACCCTGGATCCTAGGCTCCTGATAAGGAGAAGGCAGCAAGTCTCCTAAGCCCCTGTGGCTGGGCAGAATGATTCTGGCACAGGATACCACAGCCTTGGGACATCCAGAACACTTTTGGATGCCTCCATTGGCAAAATTACTGCCGAGGTTCTGCCCCCAATCATGGCAGGCAGAGCCTGATGCAGGCCTCATGAGCACAGAGCCCAGGGCCTGGCACAGAGCCTTCAGCCCAACTCCTGGGACTCCCACCAGGTTTGCCTGCCTGCTCTGAGAACAGCCCTGGGGCAACAGGAGATCCTTCAGTGGAGCCATGTTAAATCCCAACCAGTGTTTTCTGAGCACCCACTGCACGTTGGACCCTGCACCCATCTTAAGAGGCAATTGAGAACTGGGCGTGGTGGTGCACGCCTTTAATCCCAGCACTCAGGAGGCAGAGGCAGGCGGATCTCTGTGACTTCAACGCCAGCCTGGTCTACATAGTGAGTTCCAGGCCAGCTGGGGCTACAGGGAAACCCTATCTCAAAGACACACACACACACACACACACACACACACACACACACACACACACACACAAAACAGTCGAGCACAGACAACGTGCCCCCCCACCCCCACACTCTCAGTGTCTTTTACCAAGAGTCTGGGTCTGCTGTGGCGACACCGACTGAGGAGGGGTAAAGCAGTCGAGCACAGACAACTTGCCCCCCCACCCCCAAACTCTCAGAGTCTTTTACCAAGAGCCTGGGGCTGCTGTGACGTGACAGCCTGAGAAGGGCTGAGCTCCCCTTCCTCTTTAACATCAATGGCTCCCGCTGCCCAGAGGCCCCAGTGAGGACCAGGCTGGGAGGGTAACACTAGAGGCACCCACCAACCACCAAGCAAGGTAGAGGTGACAGTGACTGACACTGGCTTTGCTGATCTGGTGACAAGGAACCCAGGCCTGTAAGGATGAGATGTAAGGGTTGAGGGGTGGAGTTTAGGGAGTGCCTCAGTTCCTCCCCCCTGCAAAGCAAAAGCAAGAGCGCTCACCCAGGCAGGTGTAAAGCGCTTCATCAACTGGACTGTGGGGCAGGTTGGCTAGGAGCTCTGTTCAAGAGAGCAGGAAGGAGCTGGCTTGGAGGCTTCCCAGCCACGCCCCAGCCACACTCCCATACACAGAACATAAACCCCAAACCACACTCCATGGTCACAAACAGACAAGGATTTCCTTTAATTAAAAAACAAAACAAAACAAAACAAAAAACCTTAGATGAAAGTACTGAGCTGAGAAAGAATAGAAAGAGGGTCCAGCAGCTGGTGCTGGTATGCAGGTGGTGGTCAGCATAGCCTGGCGGGGGGGGGGGCTGTCACAGCCCCACAGGACTGACCTTGAGAGGCCTATGTGTGTGCTCTCAGCCCCTGGACCAGCTTTGGCCTTGGTGAGTCACCTGTCTACAGCCTCTGTTTCCTTGGCTCCTCCCTTGTTCCACTAGGACACCCAGGTCAGGGTATGGGGTTTTTCGCCCCATACAGGATGTGTCCAAGCTGCTGCCCATGAACCCTATGTGCACCAGGAGAGCTATGACTACAGCCCAATTTCGAATTGTAAGCTGGCTTAAAATATGAGAAAATTTGCATCTTTTTAAATAACCTGGATTGCAAGGTAGTAGGGCACAAATTGTGTAGATGACATCACGTCACAGCTGGAGGAGTCAGGCAGGGCAAGTGACAGGGCTGACCTCAGACTGCCTGTCCAGCAGGAGGGGCCAACTGAGGAGAGGAAGGCAGCATGGGCTGCTCTGGAAGAGAAACCGAGAGGAACATGGGAGGCCCGAGCTGAGGGAGGGGACCATGATGGACAGGAAACGGAGGCACTGTGGAAAGGGGGTTGGTCTGGAAAGTAGGGCAAATAACATAGTGGAAGGGTGTGTGGCTGTAGGACTTAGTGGACATCTCTAGAGCCAGTTGTAGGGGTGCACATCTGTAATCCTGGCTGAGGCAGGAGGATTGTATTGCGTTTGAGGCCAATCTGAGCTCCGTAGTAAATTCCAGGCTCTTAGGAGACCAGGTCTCAAAGAAAGGAAAAGATAAAAGTGAGATTGAAGAAAAGAGCCATCCCACCCCAGCACAGACTTACATTGTCTACACCCACCAGCCGACTGCAAGAGACGCGGGGGTGCAGGTGTCGCCAGGTGTCGGGGCTGGTGGCAGGCAGTGTGGTGGCAGCGGGTGTCGGGGCTGGTGGCAGGCAGTGTGGTGGCAGCGGGGGTCGGGGCTGGTGGCAGGCAGTGTGGTGGCAGCGGGGGTCGGGGCTGGTGGCAGGCAGTGTGGTGGCACTGGCTGTCGGGGCTGGTGGCAGGCAGCAAGGGGAAGCCGTCCTGGGGCCCAGAGATCCAAGGCAGAGGTTGGGAACAGCCAAGGCCATCACAAACTCCAGAGCAGACAGCTGGGGAGTTGGGGGCCAAGTCCAGTCCCTGAATGTATTCCTGCAGCCTGCAGTGTCAGAGAAAAAAATAAACTCAAAGCCTGTGCAACCAGCTTTGGTGAGGCAGAGGCCGACAAAGATCCCTTGTCTGGCAGCTCTTGGTGGACCTGCTGCCCCTGCAAGCAGGTAATTTAAGGGTTTCACATGCCCCCTGGGCCCTCTAGCCACCTATGGGGACCTTCTGAGCTTGGTACAAGGGGTTGAGGATTGAACGGCTGTATTGGGGTGGCCCTGGAGACAGCCACCTGTGCCTTAAGAACTTTGGTTAAAGACACAGGAGACAAGTGAACACCTCTCCTAAGCTGCCAGTGACCCTCCTCAGATTCACACCCTCCTTCCCCAGGGCCTAAGCTTCATCCAACCCACACCTAGCTGGCGGGGAACAGGGACCACCAAGTGAGACCCCCAAAGAGTCTCAGGGCTTTCCTGCTGGGAGTGAGCCCTGGGTGAGCAGGTGGATTGGGGTCCATCCGGCCCTTCTACCAGGTCAGCAGACCTCTAGGACTTCCATATGCCCACCTGGGCAGCTTCTCCCAGTGCTGTTGGAGAATTTGGGTGGCAAAGAAGAGAGACCCTGAATCTGTTAGGGCCACACACTCCCTTCAGGCCCCTTTGATTTCTGGGGTGTGATGGTATTGGGGGGCTAGCCCAGAGGATTCATCTGCATAGTACTCTCAAGTCTAGATCCCCAACTCCTAGTCTACTGGGACAGGCTCATGGTATGATGTCACCTGCCCTTTTCCCATGTCAATTAAAGAGGTCAGAAAGCCTACTTTGAAGGAGCCAGCTGGGGGGGGGTTCCCCAGCTTGGGGTAGGAAAGACAAGAGGCTGGACACAGAGGCAGTGCTTAAGCACACCATCCCATTCCATACAGGTTGCAGAACCCCCCATGGATGAGGGGGTCCCATTATACAGCCGGAGAAACTGTGGCTCCAGGAGGCCAGGGCACGGGTCCAAAGTCAGGATCAGCAAGTGGCCGGGGTGGAGCTGGAGTCTGGCCAGCTGAACAGGAGAGAGACCCCAGTCACTGTCACTGACCTCCCTCGAGCATGCCCCCACCTTGCTCTCCTCCCACTGGCTCCATGAGAACACTTCTGCCCTCTGGTGGCAAGGCCTGGCACTCCCCCAAAGCTGACTGGAATCATCTGCTCCCCCAACAAACTTGTGACAGTCAGTTCCCAGACAGCCAGAGAAAGGTCAGCAGGGTCATGAGGGTGTGCCTGGCTCTGTCTCCCTGCGTGTGACCCACCTCTTCCTTGGATATGCAGAATGGTGGTGGGGCCGACAATCATAAGATCACAGGGTCACACCAGGAACTTGGCAACCTCTGCTGTTACAGAGGAACTGTGGGAAGGGACCCAGAGCTAGGGCTGTTAACACCCACTGAGCCTGTTACTAAAGGGATGAGAATAGGCTGGGATTTAGAGGGCCGGTCTCCCTGCACCCCAAGGTCAGATGGCCAGTCAGCATCAGAGGCAGGAAGGACTAGTCCTATAGAGCAACACTGTTTCATGAATGGAGGGGGTCTCCCAGGACTCCCCTGTGCCAAGCCTGGGGTGAAGACCCTAATATCAAGTTATTTCACTGAAGCCAGTATTGACTTTTACCCCCAATTCATGAATGAGGAAACAGGCTGAGTGGGGTTACATTGCTTGCTCAAGTGGTAGAGCTGGAAGACCAAAATTTGGTGAGCCAAGGGCTACTTTCTTGCACTTAAAAAATATGCCACAGATACATTTATTGATCACTTACTATATCCAGCCTGTCTAGTATTGGGAATACAGCCAGGTACAAGAGGACAGAGCCTCTCCCACCCTGGGGTCAGCTCACGTCTCATCTGCTCTGCCATCTGCCACCACCTCACCTGTATCCTCCTCAGCCCCATGCTGCCTTTCCTTTCCACAGAGCCACGGGCCCCACCCAGCCAGCTGGTCCCGATCCTCTACCCTGGTCGCTTCTTCCCTCTGAAGTTTCTGGCTTCCAGTCTTGGGAC